CAACGCTGCTTGGGGCTGCCAGGCACGTGCATGCACTCTCCGTGACCGGCACTGGGCCAAGCCCTTTGCACTGCTCCATCTCATCTTCAACACCAGGACCATAGGCTTGGTCATGCCCCACTCAGCAGATGGGGAAAGTGAGGCTCAGGGAGGTGACAAGGCAGCTGGCGAGAGGCAGGGCCAAGACCTAGAACCAGGTCTTCTAGACACCCCCAGGGACCCCAGCAGCCACTAACCCCTGACAGGTGGAGACGCAGTCTGTCCTGTGCGTGCCTCCCTCCCTGCTGCCGCCTCCACAAGGAAGGGAGGCAGCTTGAACAGGAACCATATGGCCCGGATTCCCAGCTTCCACGGAGACACACAGGAACAAGACCTCATCTCCCAGCTACTCTTGTGGCTGAAAATATTTACATCCAAATACATCCTGATATGCCATATTTTTGCCTCAAGCAGACTGGGAGTCTATCCTCACCAACTGGGAAGAGGCGAGGCCTGGTTAAGGAGGGTCTGGCCTTCCAGGGGAGCTAATGACAATCATGTGAATATTCTAGAAGGTTGGTTGGTGTGCCAAAGCCAATTTCCTCCCCTCTTAAGCTGCTGCCAGCCCCAAGTCAGGATGGGGGGGGGGAAGGGTAAAAAGAAAAAAACAAAACAAAACGACATCCAAGCCCAGAGAAGGCTCCTTTCTGCTCTATCTCAATCAAACACACTGTGTCCAGGTTGGCTAAGCTCATGGCCTTGAGGACTCAAAGGGAATTCAGTTATGGTAGATTGCTGAAATGGGGACCGGATGCAGCTTCTCTGCATGCAGGGCAGCTTGGCCCCATGGGGTGTGAGAAATTTCAGCCCAGAGAGTCAGAGAGAAACCAGGAGCCAGGACAGGGCCAGCCACCCAGGGTCACAACCCACCTGGGGCTCCTCAAAGGGAAAGTATTGAGGAGGGGCTTTCCCCCTTTGCAGCATGGCTGCTCAAGGGAGCAGGGTGAGCAGCACCCCAGGACCCAGAGGATGCCGCTCTGCAGGCAGGGGTGGGTGGTGCCTGGCCTACCATCCCTCAGGAGTGCTGGGTCACGCAGAGGTAACACTACAGCATCCCTCTCTGAGTCTCGATTTCCTATTCTGCTGAATAAGCAGCCTTGCCCGAGGTCTATGCCACTCAAGGAGTTGTGTGTGTGTGTGTGTGTGTGTGGCGGGGGGGGGGGGAGGGGCAGGATGAGAAGCAAAGAGATCAAGGCTGGAGGCCGGACGGGCTGTGTGCAGCAAGGTTGGGGTCATCATTGCAGCAGGATCCTCTGTCCTGTTCCTTGGTCACTCTTGGGGTCTGACTTGGATCCGGCCTGGGTCCCAGCCAAACCCCAGCCTCCCGAGAACCAGCTGGTGACATGGGCAGATTGCTCTAAGCCTCTTACTTCCAGTCTCATTGGGTGCTGAGCAGACGCAACAAGACTTCAGGAAGCTCCTGGCACATCTCAGCACTCAGTAAATGGGATCTTTGCTGTCATAGCTGTCACTGTTAGCATTCTCATTTCCTTCCTCAGACTCAAACAACCACGCATAAGGCACCTTCCCCATGGCTCTGAGTTTGCTGAGTGGCACCCTAAGCTGGCGAGTGGCAGGTAGGCATCCAATCCTGGGCTGGCCTCACTTGTTCTGCCCTGAGCAAGAACCTGGGGGCAGGTTTCTTCCTGCCCCACCCCTGTCTCCCACCACCGTCTGACCATACCTCATTTGGGACCCAGAAGCAGTGTTTGGGTGCCTTTGGGCACTGGATTGGAGGGTGCTAGCCTGGGTTGGTTCACATGGAACTGCCCACATCGCCCCATTCAGCCTTCTCTGGGGATGCTTTGTGATTCATATCCCTCTTTGGGGGCTTTGTGACTGGATATCACTCCTGTAAAGTAGCTCCCTGCTCTGTAAAGTAGGGCTGACATGAGATTTGCATAGCATTGTGTTCCCACAGATTCATCCATCCAACCATCCATCCAACCACCCATCCATCCATCTACCCATCTTTCCATCCATCCATCAACCAACCACTCATCCATGCATACAAGTACATCTATCATTTACCTATCAATCCACACATTCCTCCATCCATCCATCCACCCATCCAGCCACACATCCACCCACCCACCATCCATCCATCATTTGTCTATCAATTTATCCATTCTTTCATCCAGCCAGCCAGCCAGCCAACCACCCATCCATTCGTCCATCCACCCATTCATCCATTCACCCATCTGCCCACCCAGCCAGTCATCCATCCATCCGTCCATCTACCATCACCCACCCATCCACCCATTCACCCACCCAGCAGTCATGGTGACTCCTATACGCTAGGAGCAGAAGCAAAAATAAGAAATCCAGACTGGCATGCTTCCCTGCCCACTTCCACCTACTGTCACCTCTCCCATTGTCCCCCACTGGCCTCTCTCCAGCTCTCTGGCCATCCTGAAGATTCCTAAAAGCCTGAAGGTGAGATGACCTCAGGGCCCCTCTACCTAGAATGCTTCCCCCACCTCCCCAGGCACAGCTCCTAAATGATCTCTCAAATACAGCTTTCAAATCACCTTCCCTGACTACCCCATGGACCACATCTATTGGAGCTTATTGATTGAATGTCTGTCTCCCATAGGTTCCCAGAGAGCAGAAACGGGGCTATCTTGGGCACTTGTGTAACCCCAGAGTGGACCCTCACAGTGTTTGTAGGAAGGAAGGAAGGAAGGAGAAAGTGCGGGAGGTGGGGGGAAAGGAAAGAGGGGAGGTCCCTGGCTCCCTCCACCCATCCCACCCCATGCAAATGGCAGTGATCTCTGGAGCAAGCAGCCCTGGGACCAGGAGGGACCAGCCCAGCACCCCACCCCCCTGCACCCTCTCCAGCTGCAGCCGCTTCCTTCTCAGCTCCTTATCTCCCAGGCCGCCCAGCTCCAAAAGCCACAGCCAACGTCCTCTTCCCCACAGACACCAACTGTCCAGCCCAGGGGGAGCAGGGAGTAGGCAAGCACCCCCACTCCACACTCATGGGCAACTTTCTTCTCTTTCCAACTCAAAGTCTGTCAGCCCCGCTAATTTGAAAACCAGGCCTCATCAGGAAAGTGGAAGCATCCCATCTGTGGTGGGAGGTGCTCCCACAGGTGCAAGCCACCTGAACATCTGCCTGGAGCTGGGGGTGGGGGCTGCCTTCACAGGGGGCTGTGCCTCCCCAAGACCCCTCACTTCCTGGCTCTGGTTCCTGCCCCCTATCTTTTGCAGCCTGGAAAACAACAACAAGATAACGACAAGAATACTAATACCAGCTGTCAGAGTCACAGCTGCATTGCTGCATGCTGACCAACCGTGCGGCAGACCATGCTCAGCATCTCAGTGCAGTATCTCCTCTCCCGGAAACAGTCTGGGAGCTGGGACTAGACTGTGATCACCATGTCGCACCAAGGAAGATACCGACCAGGGAAGCGTGGCCAGGTTGACCCTCAGACCCTGAATGCTACCCTGAGTCAGTGCATGGGAAGCAAGGAGGGGCCATGAAGACAACGGTGATGCCTAGGGGCTGGCCCAACTCATAGGATCCTCCTCTCCCCCTGAGCCCTGGGGCTGTGTGTGGAGGACATGCCATGGTAGCCTCTTTCAGGAACAAACAGTCCTGTCCCACAGAGGGATGCCCAAACTGCTATGACAGGGGTAGCCTCTGGGGAAAGACAAAGGGGAGGGGAAGTGCTTACTTTTCTCCGTGCTCCCTTCCGCACTACTTGAACTAGTCACCATGTGCAGGCATTACCTAAAAACTCAACTCAATTCAATCAAAACAGCACAGAAGCCTGTGTGCCAGCCCTGGGTCTGCAGGCTGCACACCCTGGCCTGGGGTAAGGCTGCTGAGGCTGCAGCCATAGTTGGTCCTCAGGGAGCCGGCCACAGGGACAGTGGAGGGGCATAGGGCGCGAGGCCGATTGTCTCCTTTTGTGAAGCCACTTGTTATCCACTGTCTTCCCACAGTTGTGGCTTTTTTAGTGCCTATGAGGTGCCTCCTCTTTGCTGGGTACCCAGTGGGGAGGGGACTCCAGGACACCCCCCTAGTGTCGGAGTGGTCACAGAGGGCTCTGACATGGTTTGTAGAGTCCCTCAGACTGGAAAGCACCCCAACTCCCCCCAGCAAATTCTATTCATGGGCCAGAATTGTCCTCTGTTCTCCCAAGGCTTCCATTGGGAAGTGGATGTAAGCGTCTCCAAGGAGCTCCCAGCAAGGAGGCTGGGACCCCCAGAGCCCTGTGCAGGAGGCCAAGCACAGAGAGGGGTTTTTCTGCCTGACCTGGTGGGTGGTATTTCAGGGCAGGGGGGCAGTGGGGCTACGAGCCCCCGGCAGCTGGGGAGGACCCTCACTGGATGGGGCACTGGCCAGAGCAGCCAGACCAGGACTCACCCCAAGGTCAAGCTCAAGGGCACAGCTGATACCCGTGGACAGCCGGCTCCGAGATGGGAGCTCTAGGAAAAGTCTGGCTGAGGGCAGGAGCTGGAGAAGCGCGTCAGACCTCCCCAGGCTGAAGTTAGGGGCAGGCTCAGGAGGGTGGGGAGACAGGTGGGCAGGGATGCAGGTGGGGGAATCATCCAGGATGGACACTGGCCCCATGTGCTGACCTGCACCCCTCCCAGGTCAAGGAAACACACACAGCAGGCCAGGGCTCAGGTGGGTGGGGTGTCACCGGCTGGCGGTAGGAGGAAGTTGTTGGAAAGTCGACCGGAATGGCCGCAAGGGAAGGCAGGGCAGGGCTGGGTCCAGATGGTTCCTGTTGAGGAAGCGGTGTGGGCACAGCTGCATGGCTGCTTCCCCGTCCCCCAGCCGCACTATCACAGTGACACAGCTGGCTGCCTTGCCTGCAGGCTGGAGGGAGACCTCCCCCACCGCCTGCCTCCCAAGCCCGCCCTGAATCACATGAGCCCCTGCGGCCTCCCGCCCCTTCCCCAAGCAGGCGGGCAGTGGCTGCTAGAAGGCCTAGAGCTATCTGGGGGACAGAGTCCTCAGGCTCTGAGAAACCCAAGCGGGCTCCGAACTCTTCATCCATCCCTTGAGGCCCCACGAGGTCGGTAAAGGCACTCCCAGCCGGCCTTGACCCTGGCCCCACACTGGCCCCTGTTGGAGGGCTGCCCACCTCGCACCCCGGTCAAGATTCAGTCTCCCGGATCTACCTCCAGCTCCATGTCCCACTCAGCCCCCGTGCTGGAGAGCGGGCTCCTGGTGTCCCCCAGCTGCTCGGCTCCCAGGGGTCCCAGGAAGGGCAGCCAAGGTAAGAGGACGGGGGGTGGGGGAGCAGCTGGAGCAGGTGGCCAGAGAGTGACATCTCCAAGCTGCCGCCTGCCCAGCTCTGTTGACAGCGAGAGCTTGACTTGTTGACTCACCTCAAACATCCACACAGCCTCCCCATAGGGCACAGTCCCACACAGCTGGGGCAGGTGGCCCAGGGAGGACCTGGCAGGTGCCAGGCTGGGTGTGTGGGCCCTACCCAGAGGCAGATGCTGGAGGCATGGACTGCTGAGTCCCATATAGGAGGGTGGGCTCTGTCCTCCTCAGTGGTCAGGGGCCCAGAGTCAGTGAAGAAGGTGGTGTGCAGACAGGTAAGGGGTTGCACAGAGCCCTCCTCCTGGGGGGCCCAAAATATGCAGGTTGGATGAGGAAACTGAGACCAGAGGGGAGAGGGCCTGGCCCAGGGCCCCAGGAACAAGTGATGGTCCAGACTGGAAGCAGTCCTGCCAGGGTTCCCGCCCTTTGCAGCCAGCGCCAGAGGGGAGTGGGGGACATGGAGAACCCGGCTCCCGTCTTCCCCCTGGCACCCTGGACTCCAGCTGTTAAGTCCCTGGGGGCCTAGCAGAACCTTATCCCAGGGCTCAGGGGCCCCGTTCCTTAGCCCGCGGCCACGTGGTCAGCCTCCGAGTAGCCTTTGGAACTTTCTGGAGCTCACAGCCCTAAATCTCACTGCTGCAGTCATCTCCAAGGTCTAAGCAGGCCCCTGACACCTACTCAGCACCCCAACCCAAGGGCGGCACTGCTTCCTCTACAGAGACCACATTCCCTGAGCAGGCCCCCACCTGCCACCATCTAGGGGCCTGAGGGCCAGGACTGGACCTGAGGCTCTGTCAGTCACCTCAGACCCATCCAAAGCTAGATGGCCCAACTTCATACACGATAATGAGTGTGCTATTGGCTTCTCCCAATGTGGGTGATTCAGTGATGCTTATAGGGAAGTACCAGGTCACTGGCTCTAGGAGCTGGTCACCCTGCCCCTTGAGCTGACTGGAATTGCTGGTCCCATCCAGCTCCAGGTGGGCACCATACAGCTGCCGCTCCTTTCCTAGAGCAGCCCTGCCTGACCCCACTGCCCTGGAACCAGCAACCTGGTTCTGCTACCTGTCGCTGTGCCTTGGGCCAGCCCTTCCTCACCTGTGCCTCAGTGTCCTTGTGTGTCAAACCCTATCTTCCTGCTCTCTAATGGAGTGCAGAAGCAACTCTCAAAAGCCAGGCCAGAAAGGGAGAGGGAAGGTGGGTGGGGTGTGCATAGCTGCTGCTTTGTTTGGATGGTGTGGAGTAGAGGGGGGATGGAGGGTGTTGACCCGTGGAAGGAGTTTAAGGCCAGGAGGTGGCCACGAATCCGGCTGTACTCACAATGTCACCCGCGGTATTGGTTGGGCTGCAGACACGTGGAGCAGATGGTCTGGGTGGACCTCTGATGCAGAATCCTAGTAATCGATCTATTGACCCCATGGTCACTGTGCATCCATTCCCAGAGGGGCACTGCTCACTTGGGGGGCTTCACTGGGAGGAGGAAAAGCAGTGAGCATTTGGCTAGTGCATTGCATTGAGTGCCTGGGCTCGGAGTCCCAGCCCTGTGACACTGGCTTTTAGGAGCTCATGTTCCATCTTCTCTAAATCACCTGGCCCCACAGACAGCCACAGCCACTCTGGGAGACATCCTGTCTCCCAGTCCCCCCCAGCCACACACACACACACACACACCCAGGAGGACAAATGCGGACCCTGCAATGCTGGAAGGCACCGCCAGGGAAAGCAGCAGTGGGCCAGGCTGGAGGGAGCCCTTGGGGGGCCTGGGGCCTGGGGGTCCAGGACAGACCTGTGGGCAGCATAGTTCCGCCATGCAGCTTCTTAGTCCACAGGCTTCCCAAGAGTCTGTGAAGACCTTTGAGACCCAAAACCTCATTAAGTGGCTCTAAACTACAAAAAGAATAGTAAGTCGTATCTTTTAAGGCTGAAGTGTTAAGATTCTTTCTGTTTGAGAACAAATGTATGTGAATGCTGCTCTGCTGCCCTCCTGTTTGGTACAAGGCTAAGGAGGAGGGAACTTCAGGGCCGAGGATGGTGGGGAGATGGGGCCTTAGTCCCTCTGACCATCAGATCCCACGGCCAAGCACAGGGCAGCTCTGGGCAACCTGGCCCCTCCCTGGCCCCCTGGGGGACTGGGACCCTCACCAGGCCCACCATGGCAGAGGGTCTGGGACCAATCAGGACCCCATAGTGTGGGGGATCCGCCGAGGGCAGGTGAAAATCTGACTATAAAGGGTGGAAGGCCCCATCTAGAGAAGGATTTGCTACACTGAGATTTATTAGGTGCCTACTATATGTAGTAGGAGTTGTGCAGGGACCAGGGGCTTGTCCCTACGAGCCCACTTTCCAGGTGAGAAGAACAAAGGTCAGGAAGGAGAGGTGGGAACCAGGAGACCCGGTGGAGGTACAGGGGATGGAGTCATTGAAATCTGCTCATGATTTAGCCTAAAGCAGAGGATGCTGGGGGTGGGGTGAGGGGAGGTAACGTACTGTGACCACCCTGAGACAGGCCTGTTTAGTATCACCTGAGAGGCTACCGTGGGATCCAGGCAGCAGGTTTCAGCTTCAGCTCTAGATAGTGAGCATCCCGTCATAAGAGGGGTCCAAACAAAAGCAGGCTGGGATGTTAGGGGGTGTTGGGCAACATCCCACAGAGGGCGCCGTCCTGCGAGGAAGCCTGAAGCCAGCCAGAACCCAGCCTTAGGTCACCTGGTCTGGGGTCAGGGTTCAGAGGTCACCAAGTGACCCGGGCTGCTCCTCCCCACCGCCCCCCCCCTCCCGCATGCTCGTCCTCCTTCTTCAGTGGCTACCTGACCGCAGGCTTTTCCATGGAATGTTCTCTGCTTGGAATGCCCTTCCAGCTGTACTAACTTCTGGGGCTGCTGTAACAAATGACCACAAACCAGGCGACTTAGAACAACAGAAATCTATTCCCTCCCAGTTCTGGAGGCAGATTCTGTAATCCAGGTGTGAGCAGGGCCGCGCTCCCTCCAGAGGCTCTAAGGGAGGATGCTTCCTGCCTCTTCCAGCTCCTGGGGGCTCTAGGCATCCTTGGCTTGTGGCGCATCACTCTAAACTCTGCCTCCATCCTCACCACGTGGCCTCTCCATGTGTGTCTCTGTGTCCTCTCCTCTTATAAGGACACTTGTCATTAGATTTAGGACCACTCCAATCCAGGTGACCAGCACGCCAATTGTCCCATCTGTGTTCCAGGTAGCAGGATTGGGGGAAGGTGCCCGGAGCCTACACAACCCACTTCTGTCACAGCCCATGGCTAGGACTTGAGCACATAGCCTCCATCTGCAAGGGAGGCCAGGTACCTCCAGGGGGTTGCAATCTAAAGCCTGAGAGGTCTCTACTCTGATCCCCCTCGACACCACTTTTTATTCAGCCCTGGCCCCTGTTGGGGAGATGGTCATCTATGGATGCTGGTAGATTCACACATGGAGAGCCCAGAGTATTTGGGGTTAGAGTGTGCATGAGAGGACACTGGAGTCACAGCTCCTCTCTGCGATGGGGGTCTGAGGATAAAGCCCACAGTGGCCATCTGACCTGTGACATGAGTATCCATTTGTGTCTGTGCAAAGTACTATCAGCACTTATTTAATTATGTCTGTGCCATCGTTCCTGTCCCTATTCTTCTCAGAGCCTGCAGGGGCTTCTCTTCTCACTCAGGTCTGACACAGACCAAAGCGACAGACCTAATCCCCCACCTCCTGTTCCCCGCTTGTTGACCGCACAGTGCTAGGGCCTTCAGTGTCAGGATCGCAGCTCAGGGCCTGCCAAGCCCTGCATGCCGCTGTAACTGCCATCACAGAAGAAGATACTGAGGTTCCCAGGGGCATACAGCACGCAAGAGCAGAGGTGCAATTGAACCCGGCTTTGCTGACCCTGCAGAATGGATGCAGAGGCACATGGGTATGGGGATCATTTAGGATGGAAAGCTGGCCCCAGACCCTGTGCCAGGTCAGGCGATCCGGGCAGGAAACCAGTAGCACACGGACAGGGTAATGGAGTGTGGGCAGCTAGCAGAGGAACCATTTACAAAGGTCAAATAGCTGTGGCAGGGACAGCACAGATGCCCGGGGGCCTATACCTCCTGGCCTGAGGGATAAAGAGGGGAGGAGGAAGATGCTGAGAGAGGGACCAGGAGAGGCAGTGGAGTAAGGGGCTGTGGACATCCAGGGAGTCAGGAAGCTCTCAGGAGAGTGGACGGAAAAACAAACACTCACCTCTCTTCCCTCCTAACCCCCACATCTCCCGCAGCCCTCTGGACAGTCCCTAGGTCTAACCTCCAAGGCACAGAGTGGGGCAGGGCTTGACTATGGGGCAAATGGGTGCTCTGGCCTGAGTCTCACAGAAAATTCAAGTGCAGAGCCTCTGCCCACGTGCAGCGCCCCCATCCCTGTATCTTTGTATCAGGACGAAGGGGAAGCCTGCGGAGGCAGGACTTTGCTTCGCCCCAGATTCTGGGAAAGTGGAGCGCCTCTCTTTTCCCGGTAAATGTGAAATGTTCTTTTCCTGGGACCTGCAGTTTCTGCTAGCACTTGCCCATTTCTTCCCCCTGCCACCCCCATCCCACAAGCCTTCTGGACTGGCCAGCTAGAGGACACCAACTATCCATGTCCTCCCATCTCTTGGACCCTGAACCCAAGCCTAGGAAAACACAGTCAAAGGGCAGGATGTCACCCAGGGGAACAGAGTCCAATCTAGGCCAGCTTCCTGGAGGAAGTGGTCCCACAGGGGCAGCTGGAGGACGCAAAGAAGACTTTCACTTCTTGACATGTCCTGACTGTGAAGAAAGGCGTCCTTAACCTGCCTGCACTGGGCTGCGTGGGGCTTTCTCATGTACTTTCACTTCCGTGGCGGCAGTTGACCAGAGGAGGCACAGCCAAGAAGAGCGGCCTGGGGAGAGGCCCGGCCCGGTTGTAGCTGAGCCAGGAATCTCCA